AAACGATGCCATACTAGCTTGATTATTCATTGGCACCCTTAAGGGGTTTGCCTTTGAATGGTTCATGAAACTGCCTGCGGGATGTATCCAAAAGTGGACGGATCTAGAGAGACACTTCCTGTCAAGATTCTTTGAAGAGGATACAGAAGTCTCCATCCATACCCTTCTTGCCACTAAGCAAAAAAAGAAGGAGTTCATCAAAGTCTTCGTCAAGAAGTTCCCAAGCATGACTCTCCGATGTTCGTCAGGTATGACATAGTCTACCCTAGTAGAGACCTGTCGACACAACTTGCAAACCAACCTTCTAGCACAAATGAGGGTTGCAGAATGCCGTTCTTGGAGACAACTAATCTCTCAAGGTGAACATGCTCAAAAACTTATTTCCATGATCAAAACTGAAGAACAAAGTAAGCAGGATCAACCCGAGTAATGTGATCAAGCCTAATCTTCCCAATCAGAAGGGGAAGATACTACGATCACTGAAGCCAATCCTCTGTAATAGGATGGCGGGTCCACAAAACTATTAAGTTAACAATACACCTTTGATAGTTCATTCCCTTCAAATTCTCCTACCAATCCTCTTCAATAGGATGATAGGTCCACAAAACTATCATTTTAATAGTTACCTCTGATAGTCCATCAACTTACCAATCCTCTTCAATAGGATAACAGATCCACAAAACTATTACGTTAACATTTACCTCTGATAGTCTATCAATTTATCAATCTTCTTCAATAGGATGATAGATCTACAAAACTATCACGTTAACATTTACCTCTGATAGTCCATCAACTTGTTAATCCTCTTCAATAGGATGACAAGTCCACAAAACTATCACGTTAATATTTACCTCTGATAACCAAACTCTTCAGATAGCAGGCTGCCGTGGGATGTGCCTCTATTCTAATCATAGTCGTTATACTCCAATGTCACTGAACGACTTGACGAATAGTGGTACACTAGGCGATGTGCCCTGTCTACCCCTTTCTCCATGTACTTGTTCAAGACTGGGGGTTAGTTTATTTGTGGTCCACTGGATTATAAGTAATAAAATTTCTAAGTTGTCAAGTTCAACAAGACACCTCTGTCTGCAAAATTCTTCCCCTGTTAAGTCTTAATCAAGACTAGGGGTTGATTACTTAGAATCTTCTGGATTAAGGGTAAAGAATCTTTCACATCGTCGAGTTAACATTATACTTCTGACGATTAACATCCCCACAGAGTATGAATTCAGTTTACATCACTCCTAATTTGTCACGTTAACAATACACCCTTGACAATTAACTTATTAATCCTCTTCAATAGGATGATAGGTCCTCAAAATTGCTCAAATCTCAATCTTCTCCAGCAAGACGCTAAGTCTTCAAAATCTTGTTCAAATACAAGTACAAACTTCTGTCACGTTAATATCACACATTTGGCAATCCACTTATCAATTCTCTTCAATAGGATGATAAATCCACAAAGTTGCTCTGATCATAACATTTTCCTATCATGTTAATATCATACCTCTAACATCCAACTTATCGACTCTCTCCAATAAAGCGATAGGTCCTCAAAGTTGTTCCGATCATAATAAATTCCTGTCATGTTAATATCACACATCTGATAATCTACTTATCAATCATCTTTAATAGGATGATAAGTCCACAAAGTTGCTCTGATCGTAACATTTTCATGTCACGTTAATATCACACCTCTGACATCCAACTTATCGACTCTCTCCAATAGAGCAAGAGGTCCTCAAAGTTGCTCCGATCGTAACAAATTCCTGTCATATTAATCCCACACCTCTGATAAAATCAACTTATCGACTCTTTCCAATAGAGCGATAAGTCCTCAAAGTTACCCCGGTTGCAACAAATACCTGTCAAGTTAATATCACACCTCTACGACAAAATCAACTTATTGACTCTCGTCAATAGAGTGATAGGTCCACAAAGTTGCTCTCATCACAACAAATTCCTATCATATTAATCCCACACCTCTGACAAAATCAACTTATCGATTCTTTCCAATAGAGCGATAAGTCCTCAAAGTTACCCCGGTTGCAACAAATACCCGTCAAGTTAATATTACACCTCTGACGACAAAATTAACTTATCGACTCTCTTCAATAGAGTGATAGACCCAAAAAATACTGTTAGATTAACATCATACTTCTAACAATCAAACCCCTAATGAACTTGTTAATCCTTTTGCAACAAGAATAGCAAGTTTTTATTATAAAAGCTCTAGCGGATTAAAGATTTTTTGGAATTATCCAAGTGATAATGAAGAAATTTTTTGAATTTCACTCTAAGTGAAAATTCATGCCAAGTTAATACTACACCTCTAACACTTTCAACTTTCTTTCAGTGTTTTAAGTGAAAATAGAACACAGGAAGAAACAGCATCAAAACCTACGTATTCAACATCGTATCACCAAAATCCATGCCTTACACGCATGGGGACTTTATCTCGATCCCTAATTAGAGATAAGTCTACGCTTAACACGCGTTGCCCGGTAGTCCATTCTTGTAAAATTGACCAAGTCTATGTATTCAATATTATAGCATTAAGTCTAAGAGAGTTCATTCTTTTAGCACAATGTTATATGTGGAATTAATGGACATAGACAATCCACATGCTAACCCGACTCAAATGATATTCGGTAAAGGTTTATTATCAAATCCGTTGATGGCTGAGGGTTTGATAAAAATCTTACGAATGTTTACGAGCCCATCAGCTGAATGGATGTGAGCCGTGACGTGACGTTTGAGAGCTTCTTCTCATGAGTAGCTTGTACCGTCACTACAGTTTCTCTTCGAAGCTCATCCTCATACAGGTCCTGTGTAGCAAATCCCTTCAACCAAGATGCCTTTGAAGCAGGTGCAAAGAACAACTCCTTTATAATAAGGAATCAACAGCTCCAAGATCAGAATGAAGATCCAAAGTATTCCGAAAATTTGTCCCAGTCAACCACGAACATTCGAAAACTTTAGAGGGGGTTCTGTAGGCTGTCAAAAAAATCATAACAGATAGCTGATCCCCATCAAACACCAATGATGGAAGGTATAATTTGACGGCTTCCAGTAGGCTACAATTTGAAAACTTTCACATAGATCGATGAAGGTTACAATCTGATAACCTTCACTACAGCCGATAAATCTCTAATCCAATAGCCTTTACAATCAACATTGGGAATTACAATATGACAACTCTTATACGTCAAGGAACCACGGCGAAGATTTTAAGATGACGATCTTTGCAATGCTCTGACGAAAGAGATTACAAGCAAATGATCTCTTCAGTCCAAGATCCAGAGCTCATCTCTGCACCCCTAGAAATGAAAACGCAAGTGGCCTCGTTCCAGAGCCAAAGCGCTACCAACGTAGCTTCTAACTGCTGCCAAACGCAGCTTTCAAGCTGCCAACGCAGCTTCCAAACTGCTGCCAATGCAGTTTTCAAAAGCTGCCAACACAGCTTGCAAATGCTGCAAACGCAGCTTTTAGACGCTGTAAATGCATCCTCCAGACGCTACAAACGCACCTTCCAAATCGCTATAAACGCAGCTTCTAGACGCTGCGTTCAAGCTTCCAAATGCTGCGTGTAGAATTCATGCCAGAACGAGGATTTTGCATTTTGCTCGTTCAAACACGACCTGAACAGTTTCAAAATCGATTCCCATGATCTGAGGGGATCACAACTCCACTCAGGAGTGATTAAGGGGCGGTTACATCCCATTAGCCCCACAAAGGAGCGATTTTAGGGGCGGTTACACTCCCTAATCGCCTATAAATAGCTGAAAGATCGGTTTAGTTCGGATCTTTGGATCTTTGAGTATTTTCGGATCTAAAGATCAGCAAAGAGCTTGGAAGCTTTCTTTAGCAACAGAAAATCTTTGGGGATTTGCTACTTGGCCTTAAACCCGATTTTCGATTAAAATTAACTCTATTACAGAGTTTAAAACTCATCCTGAGTTCATAAACTCTTAAGAGTTCTTTTCATACTTGCCACGCAAGTTAATCATTCCAGTAAAGGAAGACGTTTAGATCGTCAATGGAGAGCAAACTCGACGCGAGCATTCGTTCGAGGGAGGCACTCCATCGCCACCATGAAGAACCCAGAATTAAATAAAAAATAGGATTTATATTGATCCTCTTCTCTTTTGTAATCGGAAATTCAAATTGTAATCAATTAGAGATCGAGAAAATTGTATTCATTCTTTGTCTAAGCCAGTTAGAGAGATAATACAATAAATCATATTTTCAATTTTCTTCTTTCAATTTTCCCACAAACAATCATAAATCAATAATTTATCACTATACTAATATGAAGCTTTCTTTGGTGCTATAAACTTTTTTAAACACGTTTGCTAACCCTTTTGAAATAACCAAAAATAAAAAAGATATGAACAAAAAAATAAATTACACTAAAAGTCCCAAGAACTTTTAGCATTTTGTAGAAAAAACCCATATAACTTCTAAAATCGCACTAAATCTCTAATAACTATTAAAATTACTGAAAACCCTTATAAGTTTCTATATTTTGCATATAATCCTATGACGACGTCAGTCCACATTCATGATCTAAATGTCTCACCAACAAAATATATGGACCGACGCCGTCATGGGGTTTTTGTGCAAAATGCTTAAACTTATTGGGGGTTTTTTGTAATTCCTATGGTTATTGGGGTTTTTAGTGCAATTTTAGAAATTATTGGAGATCCACTGCAAAACTCTGAAAGTGCTTGGGGTTTCGAGAAAAGAAGAAAAGTTTATTATCATGGAAGTAGGGAGAAAGCAGTAAATGAACAACACGTATGCCAACCAGCAAGCCTCGTTCTGTGGGTTGACCCTCAAATCTCCTTCCCACGTGATACCTGCTCATTCATTATCATTTTTTTTTTCTGAAAACAGAAATGCAAATTTTTAACTTCCTTTAATAAATCATTTCCTCTTATTATTATATTATTACTAATTACTAATAATAATGGCTCTAAACGCCGTATGCCAGCGCTCACTCTTTTGCTTTTGCTCTACTCCTCTCTCTCTCTCTCTCTCTCTCCTCCTCTCCCCCATCCATTGCAAACGAAGCTTCTCCAGTTCTCCTTCTTCTTCTGTCAATGGCTCCTCTCAACAGAGCGAGGGAGAGAAACCCAACATCTGTCCCGATAAACTAATTCAGATATTAAAAAGAGGAGTATTTTTTTTGGTTTTTTTACCACCATTGTGGATTTTTGTGCTTGGAAATCAACCTCACTGCAGTTTCACATCTTGGGTAGTAGAGAGTTTTGGTTGTTTGTTTCTGCGGAGAGGATTCAAGCAGAAGTTTCAGCTTTTTTGGTCCCTATGCGAAGAGATTGAATCATCAAAAGGGGTATCTTTTTTCCCCGAAGTTTTGATTTTTCCAGTTACTTTCTATTCTCAATGCCATTAAGTGTTTACTTCTCTGTTATGGCATTGAATGTGAACGGTTACAGAGAGGTTTTGATCGGATTTTTGCCCCGTTTTGTTGACATGCCTCATTCCTGTTGCTTGCTAATTTGAGTCATCAGGTGGAACTGTGAAATGTATCATCTTGAATATAAATGCCAGCTGATTTTTTTATCTTCTGTATTCAGTATAATGTTGGGAATTTTTTTTGGAAATTTTCCAATTTTGTAAAGCAATAACCTGACATCATCAAGGAGCTTGTCTACTGAGCGTGAGGCTTGACATATCTCTTATCAGCTCTATTCATGTGGAAACTTGGCAATTGTTATGTGGTAGAATGTTTAATCTTTTAAATGTATTGTTGTTCCCGTTATTTTTGATAGCCCTGTTAAGTATTTCCCTTAATAACACATGAGAAAGAGTTAACCTTTAGAATCTCTTTAGTAACTTTGCATCATCTCATTTCTTTTCCAACATAAGCTAAAGATTGACAATCTGGAGCTTATCACTCAATTAGTAATTTCTATATTTCAATTGTAGAGTTCGTTATCTTTTTATATGAATAATATCACAGTAATTTGCAGTAAAAAACGCCCATATCTGATGCTACTCTCTCTTTGCGACACAGAAATCAAAATGTCGGAAAACTTAAATGTTGAGTTGTCCCAGAAAATGCCAGTCGTCGGCCTTAAACTTTGGGTCTTAATTTGCATCTGTGTATTTGCATTGATTGTGGCCGCCCTGTCCATAATATCCGTATGGGTCGCTTGCCGGAGAAAGACAAGGAGAACCTATGACAAGTTCCCGCTTTTTCAAATTCCTGACGTCTCAAAGGAAATCACAGTCGATAGGGTTTCTGGTCACACCTTAGCTCAAAGTTTCCATGACCGAGAAGGTCCTTATTCACACGATAACTTTAGTGACAAGGATTCTAGAAAAACATTGGCACACCTTACAATGAGTAAGTCGAGTGATGCTGATAATTTGAGTCAGTGCAGCTCAGTTTACCACGTTGATAGGGCCGGAAGTTCACACTCTGGTGATGATGGTAGTTCAGGAGCTACAAGGAGACCACCATATTCTCCTCATTTACTAGTATCTGCCTCCCCATTGATTGGTCTTCCAGATGGTTCTCATCTCGGGTGGGGCCATTGGTTCACTCTTAGGGATCTTGAATATGCTACAAACCGTTTCTCAAAGGAGAATGTCATCGGTGAGGGCGGATATGGAGTTGTTTATAGGGGACGGTTGATTAATGGAACGGAGGTTGCTGTTAAAAAATTGCTTAACAACATGTAAGTTCTTTTGTATCTCTTTTCTTGTTTAATTTCAACTGCTTATTTGGGGTATTGGCTAATATGACTGTATTTTGTAGGGGGCAGGCAGAGAAGGAATTTAGAGTGGAAGTAGAGGCTATTGGTCATGTCCGACATAAAAATCTGGTGCGGCTGTTGGGGTACTGTGTTGAAGGGATTCACAGGTGAGGACTTTGTTTGTTTGTTCTGTTGTTTCAGTTGCATCTATTTTCTTTATGTGTGCTTTGGAGCTTGTTGCTTATGCTTGTCTAGTTGAGATGCCAAAATATGAAATATAGTTGTCACTTTTACTTGAACTTTGATATTATAAGAAAATGTAAGTCTTTTCCATTGGCACTTAACGAAATGCCCTTGAAGCAAAACTGAAGGGTGTATTTATGATTTACCATGTATCAAAGCATGTGAAATTACTGAAATTATATGTATAGAATAAATTTCCGAAGAAGTACAAGTAATAATACACAACACTTTTTAAAAATCCATTTGCTACGATGGTGACAATCATATGTAGAAAGGCAGCAGCAAAAGACCAGAACGAGTTAAGTGAAATGAGATCTTACCCATTTTTCTGGCAAGTAGGGTTATATATCTTGATCATCTATTTGACGATCTGAACACTTTTCTAAAATAAGTTCGTACTAAAAACAGTAGTAGTATTTTAGAATCAAGCAAATAAAACATAGTTTCTTGTAGGTAGTCAGCATTAAGCAAGCTTAAAGCTAGTAGATTAATTAAAAAAGTTCCTCAATGGAAGTGAAAATATGACTTTTGAATCAGGCAAAGCAGCTATAATCTAAATGAATGTACCCTGAGCTTGAAAATGATGATAAGCTAATAGTGTCCATGGTCCCTGAAACAAGAAGTATAACTGACAGATAAACTCACTTACATCCTTCCAAGATGAATAGAAAATACGATTCAAAATAATTGCTGAATAACATGACCTGATCTTTTTCATGACATGTCAAGAATCAAAAGTCAGTTGAGGTATTTCTTCAGTATGCTGGTTAATTTAATATACTAAGAGGATAATCAAGATACAACTAATATTTTAACTATTAAAGAAAGCAAAAACAGTTGTTTTTATGCTCTTTTCCCTCACTTTCATTATGTTATTTCTGGTCACCATATGGGAATCTAGTCATATCATTAGTGCAGGTTTCATTCCATACAAATCAAGATTTAACTAGATTGAGTCTTTCAATATGCAATACCAATAACGAATAGCAAAAATCATAGTTATTTCTGATATTACTGCAGAGCACATAGATTTGATTAATTAGGCAACTATATCTCAACAAAATATGTACGGCTACTTGTTGGAATGTGAAGTCACCTAGAGGAGTATGTTTTCTCTTCCCTTTTTTTTTTTTTTTTGGAAATAGGTTGTAAACTGATGTAATTCGTACCCTCGGCCTCTTCCCGACTGCATAGAGGGTTTACATTATACCTCAATAGCACTCGCCATTAAAAGGGAAACTTCGGTATATTTAACAAATCCAGGGGGCCCTGCCCCCTTGGTAGTTGTTTATAAATGAAAGAATCCTACTTAGGTTAGTGTACTAATCTCCAAAATCCTACTTATAGAGATTCTTTCTATTTACAGTTTAAATTTTGAGCATCAGCAGAACATAGAAGAACATTCACTTGTGAATTGTGATTGACTCTGGTCTCTTATTCCATGTTCTGTTTGTTCATCCTAGTTTAAATTCTTAGACTATTAGATGTTTGAATTCTAATCAGTTATATTTTTTTAGATAATGGCTATATTTGAATTTTGCATTAGTTTTAGTATTTTCTAGTGTACATGTTACAATTTATTTGTTTATTATTATTAGGATGCTTGTATATGAGTATGTTAACAATGGGAACTTGGAGCAATGGCTTCATGGAGTTATGCGTCATCATGGTGTTCTTAGCTGGGAATCCCGCATGAAGATTATTTTAGGCACAGCAAAGGCGTAAGTCTTCATTTTTTACCTCTGAATACAAAATAAACATGTTTTACTTTTATTTATGCATATTAAATAAGAAAATTAATTGCTGCAGGCTTGCTTATTTGCATGAAGCAATTGAGCCAAAAGTAGTGCACCGAGACATAAAGTCAAGCAACATATTAATTGATGATGAATTTAATGGCAAGATTTCTGATTTTGGTTTGGCCAAGCTCTTGGGCTCAGGGAAAAGTCATGTGGCAACCAGAGTAATGGGGACATTTGGGTAAAGATCTTCTGTATTCCTTTTCGGTTCATTACACTTTGTATGTGAAAGATCCCTTGAACTAAAATCACTGTTGTTTCAGATATGTGGCACCCGAGTATGCAAATACGGGATTGTTAAATGAGAAAAGTGATGTTTACAGTTTTGGAGTACTTCTACTTGAAGCTGTAACAGGGAGGGATCCAGTAGATTACAAGAGGCCCGCAGATGAGGTAATTTACTAAATTTAGATATATTTCATACAATGTACACTTTTTCCCTTTAGTCTATGTTACTAAGAATTGCTATATGCAATGTGGGGTTTAATTTGTTGGCATATGCAGAATGCAGGAGTTAGTGGTGGATGGATACATAGAATTTATTTCTTTCAGCTGGAAGTTATATAAATACAGTCCACAGTCTTGTTCATATGACTAATTTTTATTTGAATCAGTTGCAGTGTCCTGTTTATTTTATGTCAATGAATTGAGCTGTAATGCAGCCCCTAGTACTACTGTGTAACCTTGTGTATGTAAATCGTAAAAAATACTTTATTTTCTTAGGTTCTTGAAATGTTTTTTGTAAATTTCACAACACCCCCCCCCCCCTTCACACAAAACCCTTACAGTTTATAAATCCGGAAAACCTTCTGAACTTCCAAATTATACTGAACGGCTAGAATTTAGCGAATCTCATAGATAACATCATCACATCATGTAGTAAAATGGATAAAAATGTGACTTGAATGTTGTATCATGTTCTCCCACTGCATCACATTCAAAATTTTCATCACAGTTGTTTCGATGGTTTTTGTGAAATTTACCCATTGTTATTTTAAATGATTGCTATGCTTCTCTGCCTGATTTTCTTTAGAACATAAGTACATTTTAGACTTTGACTGAAGCCCTCACCTTGTTACTGTTTGCTTAGGTGAATCTTGTGGAATGGTTTAAATTAATGGTGGGAAGCAGGAGAACCGAGGAGTTGGTGGACTGTGAACTTGAGGCCAAACCCTCAACGCGAGCTCTGAAAAGAACCCTTATAGTTGCTCTGAGATGTGTCGATCCTGACTCCGAGAAGAGGCCTAAGATGGGTCAAGTTGTTAGAATGCTCGATGCCGAAGATAGTCCATTTCGTGAGGTTGTCAACCCTTAGACCACAACGTTATACTATGAATAATGCTAACTATGCTTCTCATTTCATACTACTGTGACACAGGTAGATATAAGCATGTAAAATTCTATCTCGCAAAATGCAATCAAGACCCCATATCTCTATCTCTGGAAATGATTTGAGTCTTCTAGTACCAAAGTAGTGCTGTTAATAATATAGTTAGCACTATCTCCTTTTACAGGATTGTAGTGAATTATTTTATGAGAAATGTTGACTCCACTACTAATCTCATTGCTACTTTGGTAATGAAAGACAAACATGCAATTCATAGTCCACGTATCCCTATTTTTGAAAAATGTTCTAAGTTTGTAATATTGAAATAGAGAATCTGTAGTGTAATTTAGCATTATTCTTATAATATTATTTCTCATGCATTCAACTTTTATAGGATTACAGTGAATTGTGTTTTCATTATTCGCCAGGATCGAAGAAATCGAAGGAGCCACACAGCAAGCTTGGACATTGAACCCTTAAGGGAGAGTATAAGTTCTGCCGATCTTGACAACAAAGCAGAAACATCGGCATCATCACAAAGCTGAGCAATTATAGACATTTTCTCTTTGATAATGAGCTCAAGGATTTCCATTAACATTTGAGTGACTTAGATTTTGAGAGTGTTTGAAAGGAAGTAGATAGTACTTTGGTTTAATTTGTGGGTTATTGGGTTATATTTGCTCTTATTCTTTCTTTTTTTAACTACCATTGAGCTGATAAGAGATTCAAGGGTCAAAGACTCCTCATTTTACGCAATTGGATCTTTTATTGTACAGATATCTGCATTATGTTTTGTTTAAAAGAGTTCTTCAAATGGCTCAAAGAGACTGATACTTTTATTTATCCCACAGCTAACTGTAGTTTTCTCTACTGTATTAATACTTCTCCAAACTGTAGCTTCTTATGATTCTATTAGCTTACTGCTTAGTGCAACTGTATCTGTTTAGTATAGCGCAAATTACAATTACATTTGTAGTTTACAAAATATATAGTTGCAATTCTGTGGCATCTTTTTTCCGCTGTACATGCAGTTGCAAAAACAATCTTTTTTGTTTTTATAGCAAAGATGAGTTTTAACGGAGTTGTCTGCATGTCTATTTTTCTTAAAATAAAAAGAGAAAAGAGAAATAAAAAGGAAAAGAAAGATATAAGGTTCAGTTTTACAGTTGCTATCACAAGAAAAACTTTAATGGTGATAAAACTAAATAAATATACTTGTTCAGTTTTTTCACTACAGTTGTGATTGTTATAGGGATACAGGCAGCTATGACTATTAACTTCTTTTATGCAAATTGCAACCGCACGTTACAATTTCATGCGACCAAACAAGACAATATTTGCTACTTCTATATGGTTATCTAGGTCGAACTGTTGGTCTGCATGTGTGGTAACATAGAAGATTCCTATCTATGGGGAAAGTCACTCAGAGAAAAAACATATATGCATTACCATTGGTTATCAGTACAGTTATATTTTCAACGGGTATAATTGTTGTCGGTGCAATTTGCACGTCTAAATGCAGTGATAGCTAGTAGTAAAATAATATGTGCATTAAGATTCATGCAAATTGCACTGATAGCTAATCGTAAAGTAATATGTAGGTTTAAGATTTGTGTTAGACCAGAAGATGTCATTCTTCTCTCTATATATAATTTTTTGTTGAAGACCATTATGGCATCTTTCTTCTATACATCACACCAACCAACCAAACATCGCCTTTTTCCAAACATCAGAGATGTGTAGTGCAAGGAAAGCAATGCATCTTTAAGAAATAATCGAAGCTTATCTTCATCAATTGAAATTTTTTCATGTGAGGAGCAAAAAGGGCCATGGCTTTGCAAAAAACGTATCTTGTGGTTGTGCTTGTATCTGGGGACAGGAGCTGCCACTTATATTCTCACCATCACGTGGATGAACAATGCCAGCTTATAATATAATGCAAGGAGTAATTCTCAGGTGCAAGGGTTTTCTTAGCTTTACACTCTGGCTTTGGCTCGTTTGTCCCTCTTCGCTTTGGGTTCATCATTTATCACCCGGACAAATTTTCAAAACCAACCTATTTCATTATTTAATTGCAAAAAAGACCCATTTCAGTTTTATTTAGAGAAACCGACCTGGTTTCAGCACTGTCGCTGAAACCAGGTCGGTTTTTCTAAAAAACCTTACGAAACTACACGGGAGTTCAACTCCCGTGAAGTTTAGTACGTTTTTAAACTTCACGGGAGTTGAACTCCCATGATGTTTATTACCCTCAATAAACTCCACGGGAGTTCAACTCCCGTGGAGTTGCAGGGTAAAATCCCCAGCGAGTGACTCGCTGGGAAATCTGGCCTGCAGCTTCACGGGAGTTGAACTCCCGTGAAGATGCAGGCCAGATTTCCCAGCGAGTTACTCGCTGGAGTTTACCCTGCAACTCCACGGGAGTTGAACTCCCGTGGAGTTTACCGCCGGCCATTGATTCCGACCGCCAGCACTCCTTTCCGACTGTTTGCCCTTGATTCCGACTGCCGGAACAGTCAACTTCGCCGGATTTCGACAATTTGAGGGTAAATTCCTCCCAAAATTAGATTTTCTCTTAATTTCTTGTAATTCCTCGCTATTTATTGGTGATTATATGTAAAAAATTATATTTTAGAATTTAATTGTGAAATTTTTATGATTTATGTGAAGAAAACTTAAATAATTTTGTCGATTTAGAGGGTAAATTATCAATAATGTAAAAAATAGTGTTAATACATATGTATGACATCTAATTTATTTTAAAAAAATTGTGTTATCAATAATTTTGTCGATTTTAGAATTTCATTGTGAATAAGTTATGAAATTAGTGCTATATGACATCAATTAAAAAATCTAAAAATTAGTGCTATATGACATCAATTAGATTTGAGAATTTAATTGTGAATTTTATGAAATATGTGAAGAAAACTTAAATCATTTTGTCGAGTTAGAGGGTAAATTATCAATAATGTAAAAAATAGTGTTGGTACATATGTATGACATCGGTATATGAATCGGTATATGAATTTGTTATAAATTATGGTTCCCTAAAATTGATATAGGATTTAATTTTAAGTAACAATAAATTTTTAAAGTCTTTTCGTGTAATATTGATCTTGAATGTTTTACTCTTCAGAGGTAATGATGAACGATCGAATCGTAATTTTGTGTTCGTATGATGGGAAGATTAAATACCTCGAAAATAATATGCCCGTTTATGAAGGAGGTACGACGAGACCATTGTTTATAACAAAATCGTGTACTTTCGATGAGTTGGTTAATGAATTGCACAAACTTACATTAACCAACTCACGTGAGTATCACCTTAATGTTATTTGCAATTATCCTGTCGTGGAGAACAGGACAAGCGGCATTCAAATATCAAGTGACTACGATATGAGTCTTATTGGAGTCTTACATGACGAGAAGCGTTCGATTGAATTGTTCATTGAAAAACATCAAAGGAATTTGGGCAAATCGTTGAATTATGATGGAATGTATTCCCGCATGTTGGAGGACCCTGATGTTGATTCTGTTGGCTTTTTATCTCCTCAACAAGATGAAGGTTGGACACAATCACAATATATGAGCGGTCCTTCGCTTGTGGGCACTTCGAATGCGGTCGATACTAACACGGGAGTTCAAGAAGATAATGCAAGTGTTGAATCTGAGAATGATGATGAAGAGGAGGGCTTACAAATTGATAGCATGACCTTGATAGATCGTGATGAAGGGGACAACCACCACATTGACGGGTGTTATGCTAATAATGAGTATGTTGTCTTAGAGGATCCGCCGCCCGATGAACTTCAAGGAGAAGAATGGATCGATAACTCCGTGATGGAAAGTGTTCCTATTGGCACTAATAGCGGTCATGATACACAGGGCGAGGACTTCTCATTCGTGAAGGGAGATCTATATGAGAGCAAGGAGAAATTGATCCATGCGCTTCGCTCGTACGCCATTGCAAAAAATGTCAAGTTTAGGCCAACAAAAAATAATACTACAAGCTATAATGCGGTTTGTTTCTATCGCAAAGATGGCGATGATGAAGATATTGGTGGACACCACGACGGCAATGCGAAATGTCCGTGGAAGCTTAATTCACGCTCCGGTGTAAGAGTAGGCGGGCAATTCAAAATCACGGCATACAACAGACTCCACACTTGTAGCAATCCTTGATTAGAGATGAATAACAAAAATGCATCCTCTTCCTTCATATATCGATTGATTTTACCGCATCTGAGGGAGGATTTTGATCTAAGGCCGAAAGATATTCGTCTTCTAGTGCAAAAAGCCACCAACTTGGATGTATCATATCACAAGTGTTGGGATGCTAGGAGGAAGGCGATGATAAAAATATTCGGTGATTGGGATAAATCGTATGAGATCTTACCTCATTATCTTGAAGCCCTCAAAAGAGAAAATCCAGGAACTGTCTACGAAGTATCTTCGGACCCCGTTGATGGCGGAGATCGGCGGTTCACCGGTGTATTTTGGGCATTTGGGCCATGTATTGAGGGGTTTCGATATTGTTGTCCTCTTCTTAGCATTGATGTCACCCACTTATACGGCAAGTACAAAGGAGTTTTGCTTGTTGCCACCGGAGTTGATGCGGATGGCGGTTTGTTTCCTTTGGCGTTTGCAGTGGTTGATATTGAAAACACAGAGAATTGGGCGTGGTTTTTTGCATGCATTAGATATCATATCCCTAGTGTGGGTGCGCGGTCGATTACATTCATATCTGATAGGATGAAAGGAATTCCAAGAGCACTCCAACGTCATTTCCCAGAGCCACATGCACATCGTTATTGCTTGCGACATATTAGGGACAACTTCAAGAAGAAATTTGGAAACGGTCAGGTTCAAGATCTTCTTTGGCAAGCCGGCTGTGCAACAGAAAAATTAGTTTATGACCAAATACGAGAGAGGATTAAGTTTATCTCCCGAGCTGCACATGATTGGATCGAAACTAGTTTGGGACCACACAATGTTGATAAGTGGGCTTTATGTGAAGATGGCGGGAGACGGTTCTGTATGATGACTACGAACGCTTCAGAGAGTTTCAATGGCGTGCTCAAGGGAGCACGCGGTATGCCAATACAATCACTAGTTGCTAAAACATTCTACAGACTTAATAACTTCTTTCTACGACGTCGCGAACTTGGTGAAAATATCCGCTCGGAGCTCACACCGAAAAATGATGAAATGTTAGCGGCTCGGATTGTACAAGCTCGATCCTTTCATGTCGTAAGATACAGTTTTAATGAATGGGAAGTCATTGAGGGAATATCACATAGAGAAAATCGCTCTTATAAAGTTAACATGTTAGTGGATCACTCGTGTACGTGCACTTGCAACGTACCGCAATTACAATGGATTCCTTGTTCACATGTTGTCGCGGCTTGTTCTGATCTACAAGGTGGTGCGAGGATTTCACACTATGAGTTCGTCGAGGCTTGGTATTCTACTTACAACTATCGACAAACATACAAAGAGTGTTTTCGTCCACCATATGATAGTCGATATTGGACACAAGACGGGCCACTGATATTACCTCCTTTGAGTATAGGGGAGTGCACCATCACTTTACAGGACGTGACCATCATACTTGGGCTCCGGATCGATGGGCCGGCAGTTACGGGCACCGATGATCATAGTTGGCCGGAGGTATGTGCCCGGCTTCTTGGAATTGTCTTCTAATATAATTCTCAGTTATATTCATTATGGATCCGGGACCGAGACGCCCCGAAGTTTTGACCCTCCAGGCGAGCCACGTTTCAGATTATATTGGCTCAGGACAGGTAAAACATCTTTTGTGATATGCTAGTTAGCATTGGCACCAACTTTTAATTTTTTGCTTTATACTTAATCAATTCTTTTTTGACGTGCAGCCCGTACCTGATATCACCATGATCGAGCATTCACAGAGCCATTCATCTTGGGTCATTGAGGATGAGAGAGTTCTAGCGCTGATCTCTCAGGCTGGTTTTCGGGAGTGCTCGACGGTTCGATATATCAGGCTTGATTGGCCGCTTATCACTGCTTTGATTGAGAGGTGGAGGCCAGAGACCAACACCTTTCACATGCATATAGAGGAGTGCACCATCACTTTACAGGACGTGGCCGTCATTCTTGGGCTCCGAATCGATGGGCTGCCAGTTACGGGCACCGATGATCATAGTTGGCCCGAGGTATGTACCCGGCTTCTTGGACAGGTTCCCGACTTGAGGAGTGGTGCGATGAAGCTATCGTGGCTTCGTCAGACATTTCAGGGCGATATACCACAGGATGCCGATGATGAGACGCTCCAGTTTCATGCTCGTGCATACATATTACACATGATAGGGTGCGTGCTTTTTCCGGATGCGAGCAAGACTCTAGTACATGCACGATGGCTGCCACTGCTGGAGGATTTTGGTGTATGCGACGCACTATCGTGGGGCAGTGCGGTGTTGGCATATTTGTATCGAGAGTTGAGAAGAGTATCCCTGATGCAAAATAAAGAATTCAAGGGATGCTGCACATTGATACAGATTTGGTCATGGGAGCGCATTCATATTGGACGCCCTACTTTACTTGTGCACCGTGACCTACAGGGGCAGTTTCCTTTGGCGTACAGGTATAATTGTACACACAAATTTTATTCGCACTGAATTTGTACTTATATATTCTCTATTCTGCATATAGGTATAACGTGCGGTACGCTAAGTACCGATCAGCGACGCGCCATCGTGAGTTTTACCGAAATGAGCTTGATGGTCTCCAACACGAACAGGTAAATATAAATCTCAAGTCGTTATGAATATTATAGTTTTGTTGTTGATACTGATAAATGTTTTATTTTATTTCAGTTCAAGTGGAGACCCTATACACCGCCGGAGCTCGATATACATTCTCTTGCACCTATCTGCCGAGATAGTCCCGACTTGTGGAGAGCGAGAGTTCCATTGATTTGTTGGGAGATCGTGGAGATGCATGTCCCTGACCGTGTGCTACGACAGTTTACGCTCTCTCAGCATGTACCAGATCCTGTTGAGCAGATATCTCGTCGGCGGCGACCTACTTCGCACCATAACGACTGGGCCGTAGTCCGTGCGGCCTACATAGACAGGTGGGCTCACAGGTATGATTTCATCCAGGATACGAGGCCCACGGCTGTTGACTACACCGCATATATGGGTTGGTATTGGGATATCACACGTAGATGGATCACACGTGACCCACAGCCCTTAGCTGGACACATGCCACGGCCACCGACAGACAGTTACATCCCTAGTGGGATGAACGAGAGAGATTACGTAAGTTTCTAAGCTAAATTATAATATTTTTTTCTTGAGTTGGTACTTATTAAATTATTTACCTCACAGGTCCGTGCTTTGGATAGCATTCAGGCGGATATTGATGCGACCGTGCCTGAGATTCAGGATCAGGTGGCGTTAGGGCTCCTCGGCAGGATCAAGAAGACCATAGCACAGGTGTTTCATAAGACTCACGTCGACGAGTTCGCAGGCCGTGAGGACAGGTCTCGATCATTTGGGCAAGCGTACACTCGGCGCCGACGGCCACGTGACGATGACGGCGGCACTTCGCATGCTGATGGAGCCGGCACTTCGCATGCTGATGGAGCCGGAACTTCACATGCTGATGAAGCCGGCACTTCGCATGCTGATGGAGCCGGCACTTCGCAGCCTCACACACAGCCGGATACACAGATAGTCGAGGCTCATCAGCGCGGGGGGCGGGGAAGAGCGAGGGGGAGGGGGAAGAGAGGGAGAGGAAGGAGAGGAGCTATATTGGGTTGTATTTGAACTTATTTTGTTAAAATTTATAAATTGTATGAATTTTTAAATACTATACTTTTATGGATCATTATAGCTCGATATGTGATCTTTTTGCGTATTGTTTGTTTCGTGCGTGTTTAAATAATATATATTGCAGTAATTATTGTCAACAGGTAAATAGTTGTATATATTTTTGCGTATTGTTTGTTTCGTGCGTGTTTAAATAATATATATATTGCAGTAATTATTGTCAACAGGTAAATAGTTGTATATATGAGTTAAATAGGTAGATGTATGCATGCTGTGCATGTTTTTTGTAAAACCTGCAACTTCACGGGAGTTGAACTCCCGTGAAGTTGCAGTGCAAATTTCCCAGAGAGCGATTCTCTGGGAAATTTGGCCTGTAACTCCACGGGAGTTCAACTCCCGTGGAGTTTTAACAACAGAACAAACTCCACGGGAGTTGAACTCCCGTGGAGTTTAATGATGGTTTTAAATTTCACGGGAGTTGAACTCCCGTGAAGTTTAAAAACGTACTAAACTTCACGGGAGTTGAACTCCCGTGTAGTTTCGTAAGTTTTTTTAGAGAAACCGACCTGGTTTCAGCGACAGTGCTGAAACCAGGTCGGTTTCTCTAAATAAAACCCAAACGGGTCTTTTTTTGCAATTAAAAGAGGAAATAGGTTGGTTTTGAAAATTTGTCCATTTGCAATACTATCCCCGGTCAGCTGTCACCCACTCCTGCCTACTCTCCGCGTTACTCATCACTATCACCCAAATTCAAACAGTCCTACCACCTCCCTCTCTCTCTTCTTTAATCTGAGTTCAAGAAGAATAGAGAAGCATACTCAATCACTGTGAGCTCTTTGTCTGTGATTCACATTTTTTTTTAATTTCCCTTTTTTATTTTATTTATGCGTTATTTGTTAACAGAGTATAATCTTCTTGGTGTATGTAGTAGTTGAGATTTTATTTTATATTCTCAGATTAATAATCGGTCTCTGATACGATTGGGTTTTTGTCGTATTGGACCCCATGTCTTTGTTTATTCTACATAAACCCGCTAAATCTTCATAGTTTTAAATTAGAACAATTTTTCAAAACAGTCTCTTTTAAATTTTTATTTTTTAAAATCGACCATGTTTTTTTTATTTACCAAAACCGACCCGTTTTTTTGATTAGCAGCCTAATCACATTCCTAAATAGTCGGGGTTGCCAACCCCGGCTATTTAGGATGGTGCTAAACCTTAATTAGAAGCCTTAAACCATACAAATTTAAGTCCTAAATAGTCGGGGTTGGCAACCCCGACTATTTAGGAATGTGATTAGGCTGCTAATCAAAAAAACGAGTCGGTTTTGGTAAATAAAAAAAAATAGGGTCGATTTTAAAAAATAAAAATTTAAAAGGGACTGTTTTAAAAAATTGTCCTTCTAAAATATTAAATGACACCCACATATTTTTAGTTTACAGCCTCGACTTTATTAAGTCAAGATTAATATTTCGATCCAATGTGAGGATTTGATAGTCAATTTACAAATATGAAGATTCAAGTTTATGATATAAAACTGTGGAAGATTTGGGGTTATATGACAAAACCCCCACTTTTTTCCCCGAAAAGGAAACCAGGCAAAAACCAAAACTGAAAGGTCGCCATTAATATGTATATAATAACTGCATGATGTACAGTGTACAGCCACCACGCGATGAACTTGCTGATACGGTGGGGCCCACGTTTATACGGGTAGAAATTAGGGTGGCGCATTTTTAGGAAAACTATTTTGCGTTGGGGTCTTTTCCTCCTGACGAATCAAAGCCCATGACCTTTTTGTACAAGGATCACTCCAATTCTCACTCTTTCTATATTTTTCCTTTTTTTTTTTTGCATAAAACCTCCCTCTGTCTATTTATGTGAGTGTTTTTAATTTTATTTTATAGTTTTTATCCTGGTGGTTGCACTTTACCGTGAATGGCTCCACGAGGAAGGACGAAAAAGGTCGAATCTTGCTTTGTTAAAAAAAAAAAATTATTTTTACATCAAAATTTCACCCTTTTTTTGTGTATTTTAATTTGATATTTGAAAATTTTTAATTTAATGCAGACGGGCTTGCAGCGGATCGATGCTGCCTTTGATCACCTGATGCCCTTTGGCTTCTCAAAGCTGGTCATTAGCAAAACCATCAAAAATCTTCTAAAGGTAAAGTTTTTAATTTATATTTACTTAGTTCACTTCAGAAATTGATCTTGGCTTTTTTTCTTCATTTTTTTGAAGGTTTATGGAGGAGACGAAGGGTGGGTTTTCATTGAAGAAGCTTGTTATAAGGTTGTCATTGACACAATCCTTGAGCAACAAGAGAATGAGGAGAAAGACAACAAGATGGAGGTCTACTTTCTTTCTCCTCATAGAATTTTCCCTTTAATCTCTACGTATAAAATGAAATATAATCCTACAAATTGGAATCTGGATTATGGAATGTTGTTCATAATTATGCAATGTCTCTGAAGAAAATGAAGGGTTTTGCCCCCTATAAACCCAAAGATTTACCGCCATTTAAAAAAAATCCACTCCCTTGCAAAGTCACTTTTAAACCTAAAAAACCCACATTGAGTTATTTTCAAACCCACTTTGTTATTTTAGTAGTTCAGTGTATGGTATTCTTTTGTTGCATGTTGTGATATTTTGCTGTATGTTGCTATAGTTGTTTTAGGTTGCTATATTCTGTAGTAAGTTATTGTATACCAAAATGCGGATTTTGGAATATTGTACATAATCGTGCAATGTGCTAATGTGATTGATTATCTACTATCTAAGCTAGTACCAAACATTAATGCTCGGAATACGCATTTCATTTTACAACGCTCAAGTCTTAAGAAGGGTACTTAGTTTTTTTTTTTTACATTAAAGAGTAGGTGCATTCATTAGGAAGTGAGCGCATTCTTGAAGGCTGAAAGAGTCATGACTAAACCAGATTCTTTTTCTTTTTGAATATGAAAATTAAATAACTATGCAAACACTTACCGATGTATACATAACTATGTTGCATGTCTACTTCTATTATAAAGCTGTATCTTGTACCCGTATTTGATTCGACACTTCTTGAATATATGCATTCACATTAAGACTTGCATGTTTTGATTTAAAACACTCATTAAGTCATTATACACTTAATGGATGTATGACACGCATATCATACACTTCACATCCACTTTGTGAAACTTCTTGGACAAGGTCGGGCTTGTTTCAAACTATGTTTACTTTAGAATTATGATTTCAAATGGTTGTTTGCATATTTACTTAAGAACTATGAGTTCAGCCCATGTGCTTCAGCCGTATTCCAGTAGTGTACCCTTTATAAATTTTTCATGTCATGTACCCAAACCCATACCCATGTCCAATTTAGATGTGTAAAAACCACGACTATTTAATGATATGCAATCACTTCCCGCTCTATAATATTTATGACATCATTTTTAATGAAGAAGCCATCACTAAACCAGATTCTTGTTGAGGAGAATTGTAGAACATATTAATTAAACAACTATGCGAACACTTACTGATTTATACAAAAAAATGATGACTATTTAATGACATGTAATCACACTATACTATTTAACGACAAATGCAAATTATAATTACAAGTATTTTGCCCGTGCTCGCATGGGTGAGTCTTACTTTGTAAAATAAGTAATATGGAGCACATGACAAAAATTGAACCCACATCATTAGCTTGGAAGAGGAAAAGACTGATTTTTAATATGTAATGTTTGATCTCCAGAGGTCTCTTCTTTAGTCATATGCATGTGTGCTTCTAAATTGAATTGAACAGAATTTTTTTGAACTACTGCTTCTCTTCTACACACGCTCACACACTTCATTTTTATGGATATGAGCATGCAAATGACTTATACCAATGACTTATAACATATGAATTTGTAAAAATTAGATAATCTAAATTGCAACTTTTTTATCAAATAGTTTGAAACTTAAAAGAAATTCAAAATAAGGAGGTGGATAACATTTATTTTAATATTTAATACTTAGAGCTAGCTAGTTTAACCACTAACCTTTCCTTTATAATATTCCTTGTTATTTATAATATTCTAAGATAAAAAGAGAGAAAAAAGTCAGTTTGCTGAATGAGCGTGTGAATATTTTTTGTTTCAAAAATTTAAATTTAAAATTAGATTGTTTAACCATCAAACTCTCCTTTTTAATATTTATCTTTTTATAATATTTAAATAAAAAGCACTTGATATGATCACAATACCAAAAATATCTCTTCGATGTATGAATTATGGAGATTTTGCTAGCTGGCAAGCTCATCTTATGTTGATAAAAACTTTTGAGGTTTGGTATGAACTAAAGAGTATATTAAGTTAAACCGTGCAACATGAAGAAATCAAATAAAATGTTGTCGTTAGATGAGATACAAAGCTTTAACATATTGATTTCAAAAATAATCTCATGCCGAAACCTCAATTTTGTGATCATTGCATTAGAATTTCAACTTGAAAACTATATGTGGTTTTAAATTATCCATAAAAATATCATAAGAATCCAAATATTTTGTCCTAGAACAATCTTAAAAACTAATTAGAATTTCAATACAATTATTTAGAAAATATCAGATAAAGCAGGGAGAATTCAAGATAATATTTTGAGCAATTTATGTAAATTATTTGTTTATTTTTTCGGATTGCATGAAATATTTTTGTAATAGGAATGTTTTTAATTTTCTAAATCTTTACTTGTTATATGTTTTTGATGGTGTCTTGTGTTCTATTAATTTTAAGAGGGACATGGATGAAACAAAAACCCCTCTATTAAAAATCAATAAAAACATGATATCAAATCAATAAATAATATAAAAATGATAATTTTATCATTAATATTTTAAGAGGAAGACTAATTCATTAACTTTAAATATAATTTGACATATGTATAGTTTTACCTATATGATTTAAGGTTAATTTTAGAAGAAACCGCTCGACTATGATGGATGTCTGAGAAAATTCTTCTCAACTATTTTAATTTGAGAAAACTACCTAAAGTTTGAGCATATTATAGAGTACCAACTCAATTTTTTAAATTAGAGAAAACCCCCTCAGCTATGGGGTGTCTCACAACCCCCACCCCCCACCCACACTCCAATCTTTCACACTTTTTTTACCAAATTCAACTTACGTCATTTTCACAATGTTAAATAACTGAAATACCTTTTTAAAAATTAACCCATTTAATTACAAAGAAACTCCCAACCGGTAATAAAAGAACTATTTTTAATTTACAATGTTTTTTGCCCTCTTTCTCCTCCTTTCTCTGATCCTAAAAATCAAAGTAATTTTTTATGATTGAAGGATATTTTGGTCTTTTCTCAGTTACCTACTTGTCATGTGACATGTTAGACCTAATAATGTTAGCTTTCAAAGCGTAAAGTGAGAAGAGTTCATAGGTAAAGTGAGAAGAGTTCATAGGGATTTCTTAAAATTTAAAACTTAAGGGCGGCTATCTACAATAAGTTCAGAGTCGAGGTGGTTTCTCACATTAAAATAATTGAGAGAGGTTTTTAAAGACACACCCCATATTTGAGAGGGTTTTTTTGAGACACCATATATTTGAGAGGGATTAAGTGAGGAATGTTCAAGGGATCATCTAAATTTTTCATAATTGAGTGGAGTTATATATGATATGCTCAAACTTGAGGGGGGCTTTTCTTAAATTAAAATAGTTGAGGGGTGTTTTCTGAAATTAATCCATGATTTATGTAGAAAGGCTCTTTACACGAGTCTCTTTTCTTTAATTTTTATATTTACATATATAGTTATGAGATTTTTTATTTATGGATAGTTATAATTTGATAATGATTATAAATATTTGATTATTAGAATTTTCTAATTATGGATAGTTTTAATTTGATGAGAATTCTTGGGTGAATATAAGATTAGGTGTACGCATGTCATTATACTTATGATGACACTTGTCAATTTCTTGTGTCTTTATAACATGACACATGTCAATTTTCTGTGTCTTTAGGAATTCCACCAAATTTTCTTTATATATAAAGGAGGGATATGATCAAGGACTTAGTTATTTAACTGAGGACCTTGCATATATCAATTTACATAAGGTAGACGTGACAACTGAAAATCAACAGTACTAAGAGACAGTCACATGCTTCCAGAGAGAATGTGGTGGGGGCATGGTTTGATAAGTAAAGGTGAGAATACTAATCACCAATAAATATTCTACTCATAATTTAGCTGAACTAAGTAGGTTGAAGGTTATAAATTTCTTTGAATGATCATGGAAGCATGCTGCACAAGTATTTTTATAGAACTTACAATATGTATTGGATATTGTAAGACTTACTGAATATTTTTTGTGTGCTCTTTTTGAAATAATTTTAATAGTTATTGTGTACTCAATATGTCTGGAGATGTTTTCAGTGACTTACGACTTAATTGCTTATGCATGAAAATTGAGACCTACAACTCAATTTGATTTGTGGATGCATATATTTAATTTTACAGTTTTCTAATGAGGAATGACTGTTTTGGGTAACTATAAGCTTTATAATTTCATTTCATTATATTTTTATCATTTATGTTATTATGTGTAAGTGTTTATGCATGTACATGCATTCACAGTCTATGCATGTCGTGAACATGAATAGTCATCGTTTGTTGTACAATATATTATACATATCACTGCAGTAAGGCAGGAGGTATAATGATGTGTAGGTATGTTTTCTGTACATGGAACTTAGATCTCTGCTTTATGCAGAAAAACTGTGCAGAGTTTCTTCATTTTTCCTTGTGTTTGATATATTTGTTACCTTGTTCATTTTCTTTGAAACTCAAACTTCACAGTCTGTTATCAGGTAGAAAGAGAAGATGCTGATACTTCAATGGCTTTAGAAATCTGCAATCCGGTTGTTGATGCTGTGGAGACAAGCTCACATCCCGAGCTTATCTCAGATGGATTACATTCCGGTATAAGTTTTTCTTTTTTCCGTCTCTGTTAGCTGTGAATCAATAGACATGTTTCTTTGTATTTGGTAGTGTTTTGGCTTATCCTTTTTTAGCTAAACTGATGAAATTTCATGTGATGTATGAATTATGGTTGAAACCTCTTAGGTCCAGGTGGGGTCGCTCTGATTTCAGACAAGGACAGACATGAAGATGAACTCCCTGATGTGATAGATGCCACATCAAGTACCGTCGTGACTAGAGATACCAGTCAAAGTATCCTGCAGCTGACAAGCCCATCCTCAAATGCTGAACCTTGTCAGTTGCAGGAGTCTAATGGGGTGGTGAGACATCGGCGTCAGCCATGTTATGGATGTATAAGCGAGTCAGAATCAGAGAGGAAGTATAAACCTGCTCAGCAAGGAATGGGCTGGAGGATATATCTAGCTGTTATTGGTGTGATGTGAAACTGTTTAATTTAGATGGACAACAACATTAACTTCTCTTTGCATACTGTTGCGGATGATCTCATAATGTAATATTCCGTTCTCATGGTAGCATAGGAAAACATGTTTCTTTTGCGACATATGTATGTCCCTCTTCCTCAATATTATGTATGTATATATCCATATGTGCGCATGGATCTTTAATATAATATTCCATTCCCATGGCAGCATAGGGGATTTGCATGCAATTGAGTCAGCTATTTCCTATTTTTCTAACTTGAAAATTTCATTTGTTGTTAAAATTTTCTTTTGGAAATTATGTGATGGCAGCGCTGGCATTGTCGTATGGTAGGTTTTGCAATGATGTTTATTTATATACGTGCTTAATAAAGAGATCTCTATAATAAAGACTTGCAATAACCTATCGGCAGTTATCATCTTATCAGAATAAAGATGAACGTGGTAATGCAGGAGCATCAGATGTTGCATATTCAATTGAGATATTGAAGCTGTATTCAGACCTCCAGATGTTATGGAGTTAGACTCATAGACTCATAGTCATAGCCAAATGAATGATCTTATTTGAGCAGATTAGACTATTTAACGGCGGTTTTTCCCTACTTGTCTATTTAGTTATCGTGCTTTTTCACTTTGCAATTTATACCAATTGTTAACTTTTGCCTGTCACAGAAGAGGATTGATGAAATGGATGTTGCTAGTGAGCCTCCTTTCCTAGGAATGAAGGTGAATTTCTTGATGGTAATTGTTAACTGCCCTTATATATTTTTATTCCACAATTTACGTCAAGCTCATTTGATAAAATTTTGTGCCTTGAATGTTGACCAATGAGTGCAGCAACATGGTGAGCCTAAATGATTCCTAAGGCTGTGCGAGCCATCCAAAAAGACCAGGCTTTCGGTTTCAGCACATTCTTTGTAACAAGCCACAGGAAAGTTATGAGGTAAGATTCACAATTTGACCTTCAATTTATTTTGCAAAGGAAAATTGTTTATTAAGGTAATGATGGAAATGGGGAAAAAAATGAATGCTTAAAGTTACTCCAGTTTATTGTTAACTGTTTTTACAGGCAATAGCAGAATTGTTTTGTTTACAGATTTGGTATATAGCTTGTTTTAGCTGTCCTTCGTTATGAATTTGTATTTTATATTACCCACTAACATTTTTTTTACTCCATTTTGTGATCATTCTCGATGTCAGTTGTTGACAAATATCACAACTTCATTGGCAACTACATGGTGTAGGAATGGTATTTAAAATTAGAAAAAAGAATGGAGTAACTTTCTTGACTTCCTTTGTTGGGTTCTCTCTGACATCCTTTGAAAAGAACTTTTATTCTGTAGAGAAGGTGATGACAGAGGCACTTCATCATGTCTACTTCATTTTGAGTCTTCTATTTGTTAACTACATAAATTTGACATGGACTTAATTAAATAAATGTTGATTGTTATACTAATAACACGGCAAAGAAAGGTGAACAATGCAGTGGAAGTAGATTCTTTGTCAAGTTTGTTTGGTTTTTTTTTTAGGGTTGGTAATCTGTTGCATGGTTTCTTCCAAAGAAGCGAATTAGCTGTACCAAATGCATTTTTCAGACTTGGGGTACTCAGATACTTGATAAATATATTATCTAGTACTCCTGTTGGCATATGTTTATGTAATTTATTCATGATGGTTTGAACTTTGAAGGCATATCAAAGATTTAGGACTAAATAGATTGCATCCTTATTTGTAAGGTTCTAGTTGAGCTACTTATGACTTGAGATCTTACATAATTAAAATAAGCAAACATTTTGTATTTCACTAAACTCACACGTTAAGCTATATAAGTTCCTGTTTCCTTTTCCTGTTCATTTTTATGAAAAACCTTTCTATATCCATACTATTCCATGATAAATAAACCCGTATCATGCCCATTTACTACGTATAGTTTTACTTATTATGGTTACAGATATGTCTACGCACCTTTCTGGATGCATGTATGCATTGGTGTGTGTGCATGTTCATAGGCGTGCATGTTATCCAAATGAATATCCACTAACTTCGGTTCCTGTTTTCCATAAAACCTTGTTTTATTTTTGAAAATGCACATCTCTTTTAGAATTTGAACCCTAATTAACCTTCATTTGGTGAAACTTCAACTGCCAGTGCACCACACACCCTCTTGAAACATCTTCTATTTGGAAATCTTTTAACTTTCCGTTCATTTCCTCGTTACCTTTTTGTGACCTCTTATTCTCATTTTATGAAGAGTTTGTTGGGACAAACCCGGGGCCCAATAGAACAGGGTCACAGCAATAGTAGAGCAAAAGTAGAGATAAAATGTTGGACACACAGATTTACGTGGTTCGGCACTTGATTGCCTACGTCCACGGACAAGGATAGAAGAATTCACTATGATGAGAAAACTCTGGAGTTACAAACTCTCTCTCTTTACAAGAAGAAACTCTCTCTATTTTTTCTCTCTCACTCTTCTATGTAAGAAGTTGTTTCTGGGATGAGATTTCCTTAAGGATTTGAAGCTTTATTTATAGTCTTTGGAAAAACACTATGCACAATAAAATATTAATATTTTACTGTAGCAGTGGGGCCCGCTCTTTTGTTTTCTTTCAAAATATCAACAAAAGCTGCTGCTTCTTTCGGTAGTTTTGGAGTTGATAGGCGCATGACAATCTCCCACTTGAAGATTTGATTGATTATCAATCATATCTTCACATCATTCTTTCTATCTTGCCATCTTTATGTTGCTTACGTCTCTGACAGACCACAAGAGGATCGACACCAAATGAATTTGTCAGTACTGACTGCTTTTGTTAAAAAATCCGCTAGGTTATCTTTGGTGTGAATTTTCTGCATATCCACTGTTCCTTCTTCCACTTTCTCACGAACGAAGTGATACTGAACTCGAATGTGCTTGGTCTTTGAATGAAAGGCTGGATTTCTTGCCAAATGCAAAGCACTCTAACTGTCACAAAATAAAGATATCTTCTTTTGTTCATAGCCGAGTTCCTCCAACACCATCTTCAACCACATCGCTTCTTTACTAGCTTGTGTAGCTGCTACATACTCTGCTTCTGTTGTTGAAGTAGCCACAACTGACTGTAGTTTTGAAACACAGCTTACAGCTCTGCCAGCAAGTGCAAACACATAACCTGTGGTGGATTTGCTATTATCACGATCACCTGCATAATCAGAATCAACATATCCACTGACAATAAAATCAGATCCCCCATAACATAATGCAACATTTGAGGTTCCTTGAATGTATCTTAGAACCCTCTTTACAGCATTCCAATGCTCTTTACCAGGATTCGCCATGTATCGACTAACCACTCCCACTGCTTGTGCAATGTCTGGTCTTGTACAAATCATCGCGAACATTAAGTTTCCCACTGTTGATGCATACGGTACTCGAGACATCTTCATCCTCTCTTCTTCACTGCTAGGACTCATACTGGAGGATAATTTAAAATTAACAGGAAGTGGGGTAGAAATTGACTTACAATCTTGCATGTTAAAGCGTCGCAAGATTTTTTTCAAATAGTTCTTCTGAGAAAGCCAAATCTTCCTATTAATTCTGTCTCGGTAAATTTGCATCCCTAGAATCTTGTTTGCAGATCCTAAATCCTTCATTTCAAATTCCCTAGCCAACTGAGCCTTTAATTCTTGGATACGATCTTTGTTGGGGCCTGCAACCAACATATCATCAACATACAACAATAAGATAACCAAATTATTTTCATCAAACCTCTTGAAATATGCACAAGGGTCTGAATTAAGTCTGTTGTATCCAAGGCTCATGATGAATGAATCAAATCTCTTGTACCAACACCTCGGCGCCTGCTTTAGACCGTACAGAGATTTGTTCAATCTGTAAACCAAGTTCTCTTTTTCTTTTTTTTCAAAACCTTCTGGTTGGAGCATGTAAATTTCTTCTTCAAGATCTCCATGAAGAAATACTGTTTTCACTTGGAGCATGTAAATTTCTTCTTCAAGATCTCCATGAAGAAATACTGTTTTCACATCTAGCTGCTCTAGATGTAAGTCAAATATAGCGCTCATAGCCAGGACTATTCAGACTGTTGTTAGTCGAACTACGGGAGAAAATATTTTATTAAAATCAATACCTTCTTTCTGAGCATATCCTTTTACCACCAATCTAGCACAATATCGCTCCACCTGATCATCGCCATTTCGCTTGATCTTGTAGACCCGTTTGTTTCCAATGGTCTTTCTTACTTGTGGCAGTGACACAAGTTCCTAAGTCTTGTTCTTATGGAGAGCTTCAATTTCTTCCTGCATTGATGCCATCCACAAAGATGCATCTGTGCCATTTATAGCTTCATGAAAAGTTGATGGCTCTCCATCTTCTGTTAGAAGACAATATGCAACATTACTCTCCGTAATATACTCCGAGTGCTAAGTTGGTGGTCTTCTTTCACGAGTTGACCTTCGAACTTCTGGAGCCTCGGCCTCGACTGGTTCTTGTACATCATGCTCCGGTGTCGCTTCAGAAGAATTCAGATTATCTTCTACCTGAACAGCTACAGTCTCTGAGTCCTTCCTCGAACTGCTTTCTTTCTCTTCACTTTGTAGTTGGTTCTCTACAAAAATAACATCTCTGCTGATGATAACCTTATGGGCAGTGGGATCCCACAGGCGATACCCCTTTACTCCATCAGCATACCCCAAGAATATGCATTTTTTGGATTTTGAATCCAGCTTTGTAATTTCTTGGGCATTGTACATTACGTACACTGGACTTCCAAATATATGGAGGTTAATCAGCTGGCTTGCCAGTCCACATCTCCATCGGCGTCTTCAATTGTATTGCAGTTGATGGAGATCGATTCACCACATAACAGGCGGTTTTTACTGCTTCCGCCCAAAAGACTTTTTCCAGATTTGCAGTAGCCAACATAGCTCTTGTTCTTTCCAACAGAGTTCTGTTCATCCGCTCCGCCACTCCATTTTGTTGAGGAGTATAAGCCGTACTGAATTGTCTTTTGATGCCTTCTTGCTTGCATAATGCTATGAATTCACCGTCTGTGTATTCTCCTTCATTATCTGTTCTCAAGCACTTGATCTTCTTCTCAGATTCAAGCTCGATCCGCGCTTTGTAGGCTTTAAAATCTGAGAACACATCCGTCTTCTTCTTGATAGGATACACCCAACATCTCCTGGAGTAATCATCAATAAAGGACACAAAGTACTTTGCTCCTCCT